GTGCTTAGATTATTTTTCTGGTTCAGGCACAGGTACTGTGCATGGATAACAAATGCATCCAGCACCCCTTGAGTGAATAACTGCTCCCTATGCTGCACGCATAATATTTTGAACAGATAACTGGTGTCGCCAGGCTTGACTGCACTCCTTGGGGTGGTGGGAGCCCTTAAATGTAGCACCATGCCCAGCTATCTCCTGTGCACAAAAATACTTAGTTTGAAGAGTGTGTCATGGGGTGTGTTTATTTCAAACGTGGTTTCACTTCATGTAAGACAGGATGATAGGCCTTGACTGAACTAGCCTAACTGAGGGAGAAAATGATTTCAAGAAGAAATCCCTAATCCCTAATCCCTCTTTAACAAAAATAAAAAGGATGGTGAGCACATTATACTGTCTGGATAGGAATGCTTTTTAGAATGTTCATACTCTTTTTTGCAATATTGAATTTTCTAATTTTCCTCATGATGGACAAAACTACATCTGCTTCAAGTTGTACTCCTTTTTTAATAATAGGGATTGCAGGGCAGACCCATGTGTAAAATTGCCTATGCTATACTTTTACTTACAACTGTCTCTTTTAAGATCTGTCACAACTTAACTAGGCAAGAATGGCCCTGATGCTTCCATCTTAGCATGGCAGTTCACAACAGATGTTCTCTATTTTTCTAGTTTTAAGATTTTTAAACAATTTAGTATGATTGATGGATATGTTAAATTCAGTCAGCATCAAAACCATCCATTTTAATTAGCCTTTACATTTCTGTATTTTCATAATTTGCAATAATGATGAGGTTTATTTTTATTCAAAATTAATTTAACAGAATATATAATCATACAGAATGTGAAGGGACCATCAAATGTGACATAAAGCTTCTGTCCACTAGTTACAGATTAAATCCTTACGTAGTAAATTTGATTTTGTAAAGTAGTGTAAAATATTGTAATATTAATCCTTGTTTTCTGAACTCAGACATTGATATTCGGTGTGAAATTGTAAACCATGCTCTTCTGAAATTGGAGGCAAGGTTTTACTTGTTCCCCTTTTTACAGTTTGTAATTTTCACTGTTTTATTCCTGTATAAAGTCATTTGTAACACATGCAAATGCTTATTTTAGCTGTGCTAATTTATCAAATTTGGCTACTCAATAAAATTAATTGAAAGAGCTCACACAGAACTTCATCAGTCCTTTTTACAAACAGAAGTTGGATGCCACAGGAAACTTGGCAGTGTTAGTGCCATAGCCAGGCTTGAAGCCAGACTGGAATGGATCAAAGGAATCAGTTTCCTACCAAGTACAGTGGTACCTCGAATTAAGTTAAGTACTTAATTCGTTCTGGAGGTCCGTTCTTAACCTGAAGCTGTTCTTAACCTGAGGTACCACTTTAGCTAATGGGGCCTCCCACTGCCACTGCACCACCACTGCACAATTTCTGTTCTCATCCTGAAGCAAAGTTCTTAACCTGAGGTACTATTTCTGGGTTAGTGGAGTCTAACCTGAAGCGTCTATAAACTGAAGCATCTGTAACCCGAGGTACCATTGTATGCCTGAAGCTGGACTACCATCACCTTCCTGGCCACCTTGCCCTAAAAGGAAATATTCACCATTGTGCAATAGATTAACACTTCTGGGTCCAAGTAGGTTTTCTTGAGGAGATGCATCACTGCCTCATCTATGACAGATGGTACTCCTCACTCTCTATTGAATAATTAATCACTTCTTGAACCCACCTAAACAACTCCCTGCAGCTAGCTCTAAGAATCCAGAATCAACAAGGGACCATGAGACCTGTGGTCAGCTACACTTCTCTAAGCAGCTTGCCCACACCCTTAGGTTGCAATAATCTAAACTGATCCAGTGCTCCAGATGCCTTTGTTGGACTTAGTGTACCCATGAGGATACTGCCTACCACCCTACTCACAAGTTACAAGTAGAGAGCCATTAGTGCACAAAAAGGAGCTTAAAAGCAAGTGTCTTCATTATATAACACACACACACCAGGAAAAACTAAAAGTTTGTTTAGGGGTGGTATGGGCATTGGCACAACACTTATTTAGAAGGAGGGGAGGAATGAAGGACAAAAAAATTGGCAAGTAAAAGCATAATTGCTTCATATGTTGTACAAATATTAATGCTGTAATCCTCTGCTTGCTTATTTGGATTACAGCCACAGAATATAATGTAAACATGCATAAGATTTGGGGGTGCATGAATCTGACAAAATCTCAGGAAAGAGCATTTACAATGGCAAGGTATATTTCACCAAAACTTTAAAAACAACCAGAAACTATCAGGTATATATGACCCCCACAAAAAGACACGTCATGACATCCTTGGCACCCATTTGATGCCTATAATTAATGTATAACAACTCTACTGCTGTCTTTTGTTTAATTGAAAAGCATAGGTTTAATGCAATTCATGAATATTATCCTCTAGCTGTAAGGATTTCTACATTTAGGAAACAACCAGTCTATAATAGCATAGCAGAATGCGACACCATTCCTTACTTGTGTAACCATAGAAGTGTGAGTAGAAGACTTGGGTGTTTATGCAGAGATTGCTGGTGGGGGTGCTGAGTGCAGCAAACAAAAACAACCCCTAATTGGTTTTGAGGATCTAGAGAGCAGTGGAAAGAAAGTAGAATGGGAACACATGGAATTAAATGGAAGGTGCCCGAGTATGTCTTTTTGTGTTATCTTTGGAACACATTAACACAATGACACAGTCGCTTTCTCAAATTACTTGACAAGGCTTTAGAACTTCTAAAATCACCCTTCAAGAATTCCAGTAAGAATGGTGCAGTCCCTTTTATATTCAGACAAAAATATGGTGATCTCTAAATCAAAATATTGCAATTACAAAGGTGTGACAAAACAAATTTAAGCCACAGAAGAGGTGTCTAAGTGTGACATGTTTTATTGCAACAGTAGGGTTTTGAAATGGGCACTAATATTTTAACTTCTAAGTTATTAGCTGGACCAAATGATCTCACCTGCTAGACTTTTTTCTTTTATCCATATGACGACACTGTCTGTAAATGACTTCACTGTTGTAGTTAAGTGTTCCTGTAAATGTGTATGTGCTAGTCTTTTTGTAAGCAGAGGGAATTCATGGTTCTGCCTGAGGAGGGAGAATATGAACCATAGAAAAATATTTCTCCTAACAGTACTAGGAAGACTGATGCTGTAGTAAGTTTATTAGTACAGTGGTACCTCGAATCCCCGCGGCGGGGTGCGCTCCCGTTGCTCGGTCCCAGCGCCTGCCAACCTAGCAGTTCGAAAGCACCCCCGGGTACAAGTAGATAAATAGGGACCGCTTACTAGCGGAAGGTAAACGGCGTTTCCGTGTGCGGCTCTGGCTCGCCAGAGCAGCGATGTCACGCTGGCCACGTGACCCGGAAGTGTCTGCGGACAGTGTGGCCCCCGGCCTATAGAGTGAGATGGGCGCACAACCCTAGAGTCAATGTCAAGACTGGCCCGTACGGGCAGGGGTACCTTTTACCTCGGTTTACACACTTTATCTATTCCAGAAGTCTGATCTTAAACCGAGGCGTGCTTTCCCTAATGAGGCCCTTCCACTGTTCTTAGAGTGAGGTAAAGTTCGCAAACCGGGACACTACTTCTGGTTTTGCGGAGTTCATAAACTGAATAGTTCATAAACAGGGCTGTTCTTAAACCGAGGTACGGCTGTATAGAATTGTAGAGTTGGAAGGGACACAAAGGGTCATTGAGTCCAGCTCCCTGCAATGCAGGAATCACTGCTAAAGAATTCCTGACAGATGGCCATCCAACCTGCTTACTACATTTGAGGTTTTGGTCTACCACCTTCCCAGGTAGTCTGTTCCACTGTCAAATAGCTCTTACCATCAGAGCACTTTGTCTATTTGCAAAACAGCTCTTAGGTTTGGAACTTCAAGCAAGATGACAGAAAGCATGGTTTAATTCTAACAGTGTCATTTTTAACACTCCATAGCAAGGAGCACTTTATTATATTTTAACTGCTCTTGTTTATGATTTCACATGCCAAATTCTGGCGGGTCTGCTTTAGATTTTGTTAGGGTTGTGAAAGAGTAAAGAGATTAATGTATATTTTGTAATTTTGTGCATGTGAAATATCTTTGTATGCATTGCATAGCTGAGTCAGTTTACACTTTGAGCCTTGGAACAATCTTAGATTCCTTAACTAAATACAGCTCTTCCTGCTTTTATCTTGGAGAAGTCCCCCCACATCCAGGTGTTTTTAGACACCCATGATAGGAGAGGGAGATAAAACCTTGTATGTGTGTACTTACTGCTCTGTTTAATATATGTTTCCATAAACAAGGTGCACGTTGCTCAAAATTTCTTAAAAGGGAATATTAGTTTTAAAGGAGCAAAATGGGTGCCTGGTGATTTTTCTTTAAAGAAAACAAAGGCTGTTTAAAAAACGAAAAAAATAAACACTAAAATTTGTGTTTCAATGAGAAAGGCAAAAGTAAAAATCGATATACAATAGATGTTGGCAGTTGTTCGTTCATAAATCGAGATCAGGCTGGGCTAATAAATGTTAACTCCAAAAATAAATCCGATTGTGGACCTCCGGTGCTTACTCCCAAGTGCATAGGATTTGCAGACTACATTTCCTCGAGTAACTGTCGTATTTTTCTGTGTCAATCCACCAAATACATTTGTAGAGTCAGGTTTGAAGATGCCACCATCTCCTGCATTAGGACAAATGCTACAGCGTGGAGCGATTGTGACACACACACACCCTTTGCTGTATGAGGTCATTGCATACATGCCTGTCCCTCCAGCGCGCATGCGCAAGCACTTCTTTGCGAGGCTGCTTTCGCCATCTTTGCGAAGGGCGCCATCCTCCAGCGAAAACAGCCTCAGGTTACGAGCCCGTCCAGGGGGTTTGCCGTAAGCTCTCGCGGTTACAAGTAAAAGCCTGTCCCCACAACCCGCATCCAAGATGGCGCCGCTCGTGCCACCGGCTGGAGGCGGTACCTAAAATGGCGTCGGCGTCGGCGCATGCGCGTTAGCGAAGGGTTGTCAGAGCGGGGCCTGGCCGTTCCCCATTGTGTCCCTGCTGCGGAGAGGAAGCTCGAGGGCTTTTCGCTGCCGCCGCCGCCTCAGTGCTGCTAGGGATGGAAACGGAGCCTCTGGAAGGAGACGGCGGCGGCCATGAGGGGCCTAAGACGACTTCGGCCATGGCCCCCGGACTCACGGCCTCTCAGCGCCGGGCCGAGATTCGCCGGAGGAAACTGCTGATGAACTCGGAGGATCGGATCAACCGGATCATGGGCTTCCACCGGCCAAAGGCGGGTGAGGACGGGGCGTGGCTTTGGGGGGGCGGTTTTTGTCTGCGCTGGGCATCCCCTGCCTTGCCAGGGCACTTATGAACGACCTCCTTCCTTCCTTGCCGGGGGTGGGAGCTCAACACGCGCCCCTCTTTCCCCGTCAAGTCCTCCTCTCCTTCCCGAACAATGGGATAACATAGTCCGTATATTAACAACCTAATCTTGTTATCGCAATCGTCTTATTTGAGGTGCTCCCCCCCCTCTCCTTTTCAGTAAAGGTGCTTTGTTTGAAGACAAATCAAGTTCTGTCATGCGATCCAAGGGTGTCTGTTTCAGCATTGAAAATGGTCACACCTGCCTCTACGTCCTTTGGGAAGAACAGATCATGCACAATTTATAAATTGAAGTGTGTTTCGTTCAGGATTTGTGTTCCCATTTGCAATGGAGAAAGCTGAACGTTCTTATATTTGACGCGGAAGTGCCAACAAACCATGCTGAATAATTTCAATACTTACTACTGAATGAAATCAAATCCCCCCCCCCATAATTCTATTATCTGAATCATTTTTATCCCACCTGTTGCTTATTTATTCACTCAATGTATTAGTTTTTTGGGATGACATATGGGTTTAAAACAGCTATTACCACCAAGAAGCCCTGGGTGGGTGTATCCTTGCAATAAGCTTGCAAGGTCTGACTGTGCAAGAGCTTTATGTGAGAGAACTTTATGAGAGAACAGGGATTTGAATCTTTCTACACCTTTAACCCTAACCAATATAACACGCTGACTGGTCTCTCTCCTGTTATTTATCATTTAGATAATGTTTCCAGTTCACAATATAACTTGTAACACTTGTTTGCCTTGTGTTGCCATTTTTAAATGTGGAACTGAGACCATGGTGATTTGCCTACTGCTTGCATAATGAATCTTTGTCATGTTCCTTGATTTCCTAGTGAATATGTAGATAGTTTTATTAATGTGCTGTGCTTCTGGCTGCATTAAAAGCAGAGAATGTAACTTAACACTTAGGTGGGGAAGCTGTACAGTAGCTCCTGCTTTTAGTACTTTTTGGTCAAGAAGAGGAGGAAGAGAGTTGTGGAAATCATTAGAGCTTGCAGGTGTTTACGTGCTTTGATTCTTTCTGTGTCCTTCCAGTACTCTTTAATATTTTCAGAGCTGAGATTCCACAGTATGTATTGGTGCCATTCTCTTCCTTCCAGTGTGTTTGAAATATTGGAGATTGAAATGGTTTCTTTCTAGTTTAAGGGTGCTAGTAATCCTCTGAAGAAAGATGACAACTTGAAGCACTTAAGAGTCCCTGAACCAGGTGTTGCTAAAGCTTTTTTGTCCCATGGGTCACATTCAGTATCGGCCAAACCTCTAGAGGCTACAGGTCAGCACTGGATGTGGCCACCCCATACCCTCACTCATGCACACTTGCATGTTTATACTTTGCCCTCAACTCTTGGTCATCAAAGTATTGGTCTGAAGTCCAGGGAGAGGGTGATTTTCATCCCCATCAGGTTTACAGCTTTCTATCATTGTAGCACCATTACCAGTACTTTTTTTCTAGAAAGAGAGTTGCAGGAACACCCACTTTTTTTTTTAGTTGAACTTTTTTTAGGGAAAACCAAAGCTGGCCTGGGGGGCAGCCACCCCTGTGCCAAATGAGGGTTTAGCACTGCTTCCTCCCCACAAACATGCCCTCCTTCCTTCTCTTTTTCCTGGCGAACACCAAGGGGAACAGATGCTTCATTTTAGAGTAACCACAGTTTAGTTTACTGTCCAAACCCTGAACTATGGCTGATCTTAACTATGGTTAGCTATCTTAACACAGTTTGACTGAGCTTGGATGACATGAGAAGCTGTGACTAATAAAAAATGGAAAGCTCTGGGAGAGGTTGGGTGAAAGCATGTGATCCTGGGAGAAAGATAGACTTGCTTTCGCAACGCTAAACTGTGGGTTAGTGTTCTGTCCAAACTAACCCATTATGGTCAGCTTTCTCCTTGGCAGGCTTTGTGACTTTTCTTATGTGTGCTATAAAGCAGTTTTGGAAAGCCTATAGAATGGTGTTTTTAATTATTCTGTCACAGTTCTTGGAAAAAATAGGCATGAAATGTTTACACTTTTAAAAGATTAAAGATTGCATTTCTGGTTTGTACTTTTGTTCTTCCTTCTACAGTTTGTAGTCACAAATCCATCTTGGTATGACTTGTTTCTCTCCAAACCACTGTTATATGCAAAATGAGTTATTTAAAGAGCTTTGGCAAAAAGTCTCTCTGCAATCAATCTATTTGACTCAGGAAAAAAATATGTGTGGAAAATTTATTATTTGGTTATTTGGCCTCGATAAACTACTGTAACTGGAATGGAACCAGAGGAAAGCACATGGAATGGAGTTGGTAGAAGTAACCACTCTAGCTTCATGAAAATCTGCTCTTGAGGATTAGGGAATACTTTTGGTTGGAGTGGGCTGTAGTGCAGGGGGATGAAGGTGGGAGAGGGGATCCCCCCCAAATTAGGTGGAGACATGAGCTCTGATTGTGAAAGTTGCTTCTATCTGACTTTTTAAAAAATTCTCCTGCTGTCCACATAGTATGAAAATTAAACCAGCAATAAAACACAAGCAGCGCAATCTTTTTAAAAATTACCACTGAACGACTAGTCCTTGTGTTTCTTTCAAAAGCCAACAAGTAACTTGTCCTGTGTCCTTTTGAAGGGAGCTGTTTTGTAGGCTGAGGTATGCAAGGGAAAAGGCACCAATTCTTAGTATCTTTTTGAAATGGCATTATGCTTTATTTTTATTTATTTAATAAAATTATGCCCTACCCCTTTGCCTTATGACTCTCCAGGACATGTTACTGCAATAAAACACATAAAGCAACCAGTAGTTCAAACTCATAAAACAATCAGTATAAATAACTAAAGCCTTGGCTATCTGTCAGTGTATCACTGCACAGGCCAGTTCCTTAATGCACAAAGACCTGAAAGAAAGAGCAGGTATTTAGCTGGGGCAGGAAGGGGGAGTGTTATTAGGCTCAATGTGAAAAGTATATGCCATTCTTGTTTGATCCCTGTTTTCCTTACAGTTCTCTTAGTTCCACAGCTGCATGGCCTAGGACCTTAGTCTGTAGGGATCCACTACCAGTTTATGACCTGATCTCAGATGGTCACAACAGTAGCCCTACCGCTGTACAAATATATGGTTAAAAAAGAAGAAGAAGAAGAAAATGTTCCCCAGATGCATGTTTTGGTTTAAAGTGGGTCCCAGGTTTGAAAACATGGAAGACTACTAGCCTACGTCTTGTAGAGTAACCTACAATATTTAGCATAGTGACTCTTTTCTTTTTTACCTCCTCTTTAGATGATGACAGCCATTCAGAATCAAAACTTCAGCTGGAACAAGATAAGCCAAGCACCCTTCCCACTCCTGTTTCCAAACGGGTTGTGCTAGGTGACACTGTTTGCAGTTTGGCAGGAACAGCCGACCACGCAAGCAGTGCAATAGAGCACAAGGGAGAGAAAAAGGACTTGTTTAGCATAACTCCCGAGGTTGGAAATGATGGCACTGGCGAGCTCCGACAGCGCAGCAGAGGGGATCTGATGGAGGTTCCGCAGAGAGCACCTCGCCACGGGTTAGACCAGTATCTCTCGAGGTTTGATGAAGCGATGAAGCTAAGAAACCAACTTATCAGTGAGAAGCCAAGCCAGGAGAATGGAAATGTGGTGGAGGAATTTGATTCCTTCCGTATTTTTAGGTTAGTGGGGTGTGCGCTACTTGCCATTGGAGTTAGAGCTTTTGTCTGCAAATACTTGGTGAGTAAAGAAAAATCTAAATAACTTAGTACTACTTGTTTATTTGACCCGGTTGCCTTACTGATTAGCCCAGAAAGTTTGACAGTGGAATTTGCATTTGACAGATAAGGAATTTATGCTGAGAAAAGTAATAACTTTCCCTAGGCCCGCCCATCAAGTTCATAGCTAAGTAGAGATTTGGACTTAGGCCCAAATCCATAATTCTGTCCACTCTTCAACAGTGGCTTGCCCTAAGTAGTGATGATTGAGCAATGATTATTTTAAGACACATGGTGTTTGGCAAGAGGATCGGAACCACAAGAAATTGTAAGCCCTGGCCTAGCAAAAGCATCAAGAAATTACTGTACTTTGGTGCTCTTCTGTATTGACAATAATTAAGCTATGGGTAGTCCTGGAAGCCTAGGATTGCCAGCAGTGTTGTTTGCTTTTCAGGCTGTGCCAAGTACTGCTGACTACTGTGTGCTAAAACACAGCTGACAATTTACTAGCCAGTGATAACATTTAATAGTGGAACAAACGTGGCCTTATGCATGAAGCTTAACTACAAAATATGCCTAGCTTTCACCTTGTCTTAATCCTGTTGTGAGCTGATCACATGAAGCAGCCTCTCCAAAGCAATTGGGCTAAAGTTTTCTTGCCACCAGAACCCCTAAGGAAGATGTAACCGTCTGATTTTAGGACTGAGATCAAGTTGGCAAGATATGGACACAAATTTCTAGACATCAAAAATGAAGAAGACTGCTATCTTAAATTACTTAATCATCTGTCAAAAATTATACAAAACTATCCAAACCATTTCGAGATTCCCAGGCTCATTTTTATGGGAACTGGGTAATCAGCAGAAAAGCATTTCCTAACTATATAAAGTGCAATGCCTAATCATTGCTACTATCAAGTGGCTTTAAATTATTCAAAAGTAAATTTGAATGTTATTGTTTAATTATGTGCAAGGATGATTATTTACTGAATGATTCATATGAAAGTTTTCCTTGGGGACTTTTTGAATGGACATGTTCCAAGACATTACTATAGCACTCTAACCCTATAGGTCTGTACCAGTACGTTAGATATATGTTAGTGACTTCTCTGGATCTTCCTTAAATATAAAGTCAGTCTGTTTTGACAGTGGTGCTTTGAAATTTGGTTCTCTTCTCTATATTTTCCAATCAATTGGCTGAAACACTTCATAGACTATTTCCTTGAAATAATGTAGCAATGTGAATTTCTTGTTACTACTTTCTGTTTCATTTAACTTATTTGTTTTTCCCCCCCACAGTCAATATTTGCTCCATTTCTTACCTTACAGCTTGCATACATGGGGTTGTCGAAATATTTCCCAAAGGTAAGACCTTTTTTTTAAACGATAAACAGATTATCAAAATGTGTTAACTTAAAAAAAGATATGATGGATAGAATTTTCTTAGCTTTTATGCAGTATAGCAGATAATGACAATACAGTACACTGCTAATTTAGGTTTATCAGCAATTGTTTGCATTTTGTGTACATACATTTTGAATACTTGAGAGTAGTCAGTTACAGAGACAATGCATAAACTCTTCAGTACTGAGGATCTTCATGGGTGTAAGTTACATTCAAATTTAGAATACCTTACTTCTGAGTAAATTTTAAAGGCCTTGAATTTGTAGCCCTGGGCATGAGGTTTCTGTCCCCTTTGCTTTACATTTTTGCCCAGGGATTGATGCACAGCCTCATGTCTTCTTCTCACCTTTTAGTGTATTGATCAGATATCTTACTTTTCTTTCAAACTGGTGACGTTTTCAGCTAACTTTCCTTTGCTGTCATCATTGTTTTTGTGACAGTTGTATTGAGTGAAACATGAGAATTACCAAATGTGGATGACAAGGGACATATTAAGTAACAATTAGTGGACAAAAGTCCCTTTTAGTATAGACAACTGGCAAGCGAATGTAATGGAACTTTGAAAAAAGGAACAATTTCCAGTGTGATAACACCATTTCCAGGTCCCAAAGTCATTACTTCATCACTGTAGCCTCTGCCCTTGCCTGATGAATGTAAGAGAATAGCTCCAGCTGCTATTTGTGAACAGAAAGAGCTCATCATAATAGAAACAAGCAACCAAGATTACAGGAAAATACCTTTGAGATGCATTTTTAAATGCACTTTGAGAAGTGTATGGTAAAATATTAGGTAACATGAAATGTATTATTATTATTATTATTATTATTATTATTATTATTATTATTATTATTATTAGAATGTATATACCTCCCTATACCCGGGGGCCTCAGGGCAGTTCACAGAATAAAATCAAGTTATAAAACCACAAAATACCTAATAAAAATAAAAATAAATGTATTAAAGCTCTGATAAGGTGCTTAAAGATGAAAGCTGTGAAAAACGAAGTAATTTTTATTTCTTATACAGAGTGAAAAGAAAACGAAGACCACGGTATTGACTGCTGCTCTTTTACTGTCTGGGATCCCTGCAGAAGTGATTAGTCGTTCCATGGACACTTACAGCAAAATGGGGGATGTTTTTACAGACCTTTGTGTCTATTTCTTTACTTTCATCTTCTGCCATGAACTGCTTGTGTTTTTTGGTTCCTGAAGTGCCATGATAGCTGTGGAACCTGGTGTAATACTTCAGCTGGACTGCGTCACTCTTGATTTCATACATGCCTCTGGATATATAAACAGTGTTAACCCTATATCCAATACTTGGTTCAGTGCAGCTTAAACATACTTTGATAGGGAAGAGCTTTGAAGTCCTGGCTTTGAAGCTGAATTGGTAGATTTTGAGTACAGTGCAGAGTGATCTCAGATATGGACGGTCAAATGCAAATATTGGTCAATGGTCCAATGACACACCTTTCTGTAAAACTGAAATGTGTCCTTTCTGTCCACCACCCCAGTTAAAAAGAATCACCCTGAAACTGTAACCTTTCCCTTTGGCTCTATGATTTGAGAGCACAGTGCAGCTGAGGTCTCCTACTTGAATAGAATTATGTTAGTCTTTATGGGTGAATCCAAGAATTCCATGAGCAAAACTCAACTCATCAGACTCTCCTGCTGGAGGTAAGGTGGGGGAGGTGATTTTTGTGTTCCTCCTATACCAGAGGTCCGGGGATTCTCCAGAACTTGCAGGGGTGGCACAGGAGGAAATGGAGATCAGAAAAAAATGTTACCCTCTCCCTTTTCCCAGCAGGAGTCTCTGATGGGTCTCTGTTTTTCCTCCAAATGGATCTTTCTGTTCATGGAAGGAATGCTCTGAATACAAGCTTATCATAGGAATATCCTATTTTATTAGCTTATATCCCTCAATTCATGCATTTTAGCAGTCAGGATAGTCTTACCAAAATACTGCCAGCACCAAGATTGATTCTACAATAGAATTAGGCTGGATATAAGTCATCATTTTATGTCTTCCTTAAATGGGGTAGTATTCTCTTTGCTTTCTTGTAGTTAGGGAGGTTTGAAATTCAACTTCTTTATGTGTTCCCATTAAGCATTCATTGGGTGATATCAAACATTAATCTTACTCAAAGTAGACTCATTAAAATCAGTGGATTTTAGTCCTTCATTTCAGTTAGCCTACTCTTGAGTTTGACTTCCATTGGATATTCCCTGTTACCTTTTTTTTACCAGACTAGGAATCTTAATTACTTGTGTTTACATGATCTAATGCAATATACAGCATTAGTGCAGATTTAAAAGCTGCTCTCTTGGGTAACTATACTTTCGTACCTAAAAATGTCACAAGTTTTGCTCATTCCTCTGACTTGACAAGTGCTATTTTTTGTTCATTGTAGTGTAAACTAACACAGGTTTCTGCTTCCTATTTCCTATATCTTCCGTTGCAAGAATATTGCATGTGGAGTCCAGCCTCTTCTGTCTGGACATTCAAGGGATCATTACATTTATCAGTAGCAGGGGGGAAATGTGACTTGTAAGAGTACAGACCAGATTTTAACCATAATTTTAATCAAATTATTAGTTTGTACAGTTGCTTACATGTTCATTTCACATGAGAATGCTGACTCACAAGTAAGTTTTTATAATCCATCTGATACTTTTGAAGCGTCTTCCATCAAAACCATTAGGGCAATTCTAGGTAAATGCTCTTGATTGGTTCATTTCTGAAAGATTCCGTTCTATTGGTCAGTACCATAAAACAAGTCTTTACTTGGTTTTAGCTGGTGGTCCTTCATATTTATTTATTTATTTAGAGTTAAGTTCCTTCAGTAAATCACAGTTGTTGTTTACCATTAAAAACAGATTTTATTACTAAAAAATAAAAATAAATTAAGAACCCTATAATATTTAAAGGCTTGTTCAGAGGAAGCCCAGATTAAGAGAGCATGCACACCCAACCTTCCTTTCTCCCTCCCCATCTTTCTCTGCTCTGCTTCAGTGCTGTGTGCAATGTTTGCGATCCCTGGTTGACTTCTGAACCTGCCACCCTGACAAGTAATTGGCACCAGACTTAGGTATTCAGTGAGAAATTAGGCTGGGAGAAATCAGGCTATTATGTAATAGTTCCCTTTATGCTGAAGGATGAATGGATATTTGCCTGGGACCTTAAGAATTAATGGGATTAAATGTTCTGGAGGTACAGTGGCCATCGTAAACGATAGGTGTTACCCATGTAGCTGTGATCCCCTAAGTTACTGAAATCATTCTGTGATTATAGAGGCTAATGTAGCTTCTCTTTTTAGAGGCGGTCACTTCTTTGTTTTTGTTTTGAATAATCAAAATAAGCTGTTTTCCTTATTTTGCTTCTTTCCTCCGTTACAGTTTTAATACTGCATTCATTGACCCAAGTTTCATTGTTCTAATTGTATCTGTTATATGAAGAAAAGAGTTTTTAGAGTAAATATGGATGCACTGGAGACATCTGTGCACTTGGATTGAGGCGTTTGCCATGGCAGTTCCCCGTGCTGAAGACATGAGTCTGCTCAGTTTAAAAAACCAACTTTACTCTTTAGCAGTAGGAACTGTTGTGGCAAAAACAGCAAGCAAAGCCCTGTTTGTATCTGAGTTCTTTCCTGGGCATGTATTTCTTTCCTCTCTAGAATCGGGCCATGATATTGTGTTCAGTAGACTTTGCACTACGATAAACTCTCAGCATCTAATTGTATATGTTAAGGTCTGACTATATCTCTGTCAACATGTTGAAAGGTTCTATTTGAAGCTAATGGATGTAATACAAAAGATTCAGAACAATTGCTTTGCAAGTGAGGGCTGAAATTGAGCTGGCATTAATAATTCTATCTGTAAGGAGTGACTTGCAGAAATACTGTATCTGCGTCACACCTTCAAAATGCTTTGAAGTTTTCATCATTCCCAACTAACAGTTTCAGAAAGCTGATAGACTTAACCATTAAAACACCTTTCAGCTGGTGTTTGTGAATTTCTTTAATTCATATTTGCCAAGCTGGACTTTTCAACAGTGATAAATCAGTATCAAGTCTAAAATTTAATGGGTAGAATATAGAATTTTCCCATATTGCCCACTTCCGCTATGAAAAGTGATGTATAGGGTGGGATAGCAGGTGAATAGTAAAAAGGTGTTTTGTATGTGGTTCCTTTTGCAAAAACCTCATTTTGCAAAATCCAATAAACCTCATGTGGTCATGTATGTCCTCCAGTGTAATTATTTCTAGACTGCTTCTATGAAGTCTGTTAACCATTTATTTGTTGGCATGCCTTTGTAATTCATTTTTAAAGACTACTTGGGTTGTCAAGTGTTTTACTAATATATTTCCAATGTTATTTTCATTTCCAACTATAGAATATATGTTCATTTAACTTATGGACAAGCATGATTTAGAAAGTAAAGAATTAAACACTGCAGTTAGCTCTGTTGAATCTGTTTACCACCACAATAGCAACATGCCATCTGCCAGCTGAACAAGGACAATAATGTGTAGAAAGACCAGAATGGGAGTTATGCTGAACAGCTGGTAGCAACAAGCATTGCATGTCACCCTTCTAGAAAAATTAGCACAGGAACTAATGAGAGAATTAAAGAAATGTCATATTTCTATTTACAATTGTGAAAAATGTACACTGTGGTACTGTACTGTGCAATTCCACCCTGAAAGAACATCTGGAGCACTACGGAACACTGTGTTTGGACATCTGTAAAAAAGGAAGATTATTTCACCCTTTGTCATACTAACAAACTGAGCATGCTTCTCTGCCAATCCTGCTCCCATCTCACCCACCCAGTTCCATCATGACCACGAAGTAACTTTTTACTGTAGGCTATACCAATGCACAGGGACGCGGGTGGCGCTGTGGGTAAAACCTAAGTGCCTAGGACTTGCCGATTGCATGGTCAGCGGTTCGAATCCCCGCGGCGGGGTGAGCTCCCGTCGTTCGGTCCCAGCTCCTGCCCACCTAGCAGTTCGAAAGCACAATTAAGTGCAAGTAGATAAATAGGTACCGCTTTCTAGCGGGAAGGTAAACGGCGTTCCGTGTGCTTCTCTGGTGCCGGTTCGCCGGAGCAGCTTCGTCACGCTGACCACGTGACCCGGAAGTGTCTGCGGACAGCGCTGGCTCCCGGCCTCTAGAGTGAGATGAGCGCACAACCCTAGAGTCTGTCAAGACTGGCCCGTACCGGCAGGGGTACCTTTAGCTTATACCAATGCACTACTACTTGGTCAACAGTTGTCCAGTCTCTCTCCAGATTTGGTGGTTTGTTTTATTTATTTATATCTACATCCATTAGTCACATGGTGTACTGGAGCATCTTAGCATATTTGTAAGATGCTTAGGCAGTGACTGTGTTAAAAAAGTATATCTATAGACATACGAATTAAAGCAGATTGATGTAGCATGTCTCTGCATTTAAAGTCACTGAAAGCGGCATGAAATAGCAATAATTCCATACAATTAAAGAACTTGCTATCCCAGGTCTCCTCATCCCATCATTCTGCTCACTGTAATACTGTTGCACACACCTCGATTCAGTTTCCTTGGAGTGAAGGTCACTGGAGACTGGTGATTTTAGGATATATGATTTAGTATAACAAAATAACAACATATTATTTATACCCTGCCCACCTGTCTGGGTTTCCCCAGCCACTCTGGGTGTCTCCTAACAGAATCAAAAGCACAATAAAACATCAAACATTTCACTAAACAGGGCATTAACACATGAATAGATATTGCTTCCCTAGTTTATAAACTTGCTTCCCTAGTTTATAGATCTTGCTTCCCTAGTTTATAGATCTTGCTTCCCTAGTTTATAGGGAGATCTCCAAACCCATAGTTCTGGATTAAGCACACAGGGAAAGTCAGGCCTCCTGTTTTTTTGCAGCTTCAGCCCAGACTAAAAATTGTGACTAGCTCTTGGCTAGTCTCCTACTTACAATATGTCATCTCTCTTCCTGGAAGCACCATTAGCTTCTTGTTCCTATTGCAGCATGGCCAACTCTCTATTCTTGTAACAAAAAAGGTGCTTAGCAGCCCAGCTAGGCTGTTAACTTAAAAAAACTAACAAACTGGTTTGGCCAGTTCAGCAGTTCCTTCTACCACAGACTACAGTCTTATAGATAAAAAAAAATCAGACTTGGCTGGGATCCACAGGCATTAGCCAAACCAGCCACCCAATCCTATAGCAATACTCTTACCATCTCCATTAAGATAAATAGTTGCATACCTGGTCTGTGTTAGACATGAATCCAAGTTGTAAGTAGGAAGTATTTGCTATCACATCATATTAGCTAGTTTTGGGTATTTGTGTATGTTAATACTAGATAGTTGTACACAGGGCATTGAAGCAATTGCCTTCAGCTTTTTCCAACCCAGCACCCAGGCATACATTTTGGGTAACATTTTCTTAATTTCTGGGGTGGTAGTGCTGCTTTTGCAACCCAGCTTAGATCAGGCCATGGTAGTGTGTCCCTCCTCACCAGCTGAAGACCAATGCATTAAATACATTATAAATTTATTGGGTGCATTGCTTTTCTGTTCTCCTGGAGGTAACACCCGCATTTTCTGTCTCTGGCATCAAACCGTATTGTAGCTAAAAAGAGAATTGGTCAATTTTATTTTACATCAAGGTGGCTTAGAAATCAGAACGGAATCACAGACAAGTCAGTATTAAATGCAAACATCACGAAGCAGCTGGTAAATGGAACGTGTCTCCTAGCTCAGCACCGTCCATTACAGAAGAGATTACAATTTGCGCAATTACAATTACAATCCATACGTTGAACATCAGCTTGCCATGGACATCCGTCTGGTCACTATGAGAACGAGATGTTGGACTAGATGGGCTTTGGGACCCATCCAGAAGGGGCTCTTCGTGCGATCTCATCACGCCTCTTCCACACAAACACGCAGCAGAGAGGAAGGTCCCGGCCAGAGCCTGTGAAAGCTCGGCCCTCCGGACGCTAGGGGTCGCTGTGCCCGGCTGGCGGAAAGGCGGGTGACGGCCCCTTCCTTCCGCTTTCTGCGTAGCGCGGTTCATTTCCGCTTCGCTTATTCCTTCGGAAATGGCTGCCGCTGCTGCTGCCGCCGCTAAGCCTTGAGGGATCAAGTCAGGAAGGAGGAGGAAGAGGCCGCTATGGGTCGCGAGTCCAGGTGAGCCGGGAGGCCTTTGCGGGAGCGGGTCGGGCCCTGCCCGCGGTGGCCTTTCCGCACGGGACAAAAGTGGCCGGCCCCTCGGGGAGGCCCTTCGCGGGGCCGCCTCAGGGGGAGCCGCGCGGGAGGAAGGCCGTTCGGGGGTCGCGAGGTTCTCCACGAGCTTCTCGCCGTCGGGAGTGTCGCAACTGCCAAACGGGCCGGGACTTTATTTCAGACACTTTCATAGAGTCCGTCATGATATTTCTATATTATAGTGATTTACAACTTTAGACGGGGCATCATCAGGGCAGTTTTTCGCTCTGTTATGTGTTTGAGGCGGCTGATGGCCATCCTTTTTTTCCCAGCCCACCCCTGGACAGGAATGTTTCTGTCCCTGTTTTTGAGCCCACCTCATACCCAGGCCAGGGGTCGATAGCAGTAGCTTCAACGACCCAACAGAATAGTGTTCTAAATGTGAATTTCATCCAGAAAGGGCAATGCCACATATTTGCCGTACAAGGTTGGATTAATTTTGATGTCCATGAGATCGGTTCTACTCAATTGTAATAAAATATGCAAAATGATACCTCCTCTCTGCTTATTAATTTCTAATTTGTTGCTGCTTCTCACCTGTACCAGGCCATTAGTTATCCAGATTGGTCATAATCCTCTGTAAATTGGGATGACCTGTGGTTATAAACAGCAAACTCGATGTGATTGTTATGAGAGAGGTTCTAGCAGACCAAGAACCTAGACTTTAAGAGTGCACAATCATCATCATCATAATAATCTATTATTTCTACCCCTCCTGTCTGGCTGGGTTTCCCCAGCTACTCTGGGCTGCTTCCAACAAAAAATTAAAAATATATGAAAACGTCAGTCATTAAAAACTTCCCTAAACAGGGCTGCCTTCGGATGTCTTCTAAATGTAATATAGTCGTTTATTTCTTTGACATCTGATAGGAGGGCGTTCCACAGGGTGGGTGCCACTATTGAGAAGGCCCTCTGGCAAGGTCAACTTTGTTCTTTTTTTAAAAGAACATATTTTTTTAAAATATGTCATTAGCTGCCACTGTTACTGCTGTTAATCAATATTGGGATGAAACAGATTTGCAGCGCTGAACCGAGGCTAGCAATGAATGGTTGTAGCATACCTGATCCAAAATAATTTGTAGAGAGAGCCTTAATAGTGACTTGGCAGATTGCGTATTTTTATTTTTCTTGGTTATATCTCATTCTTATTTTAGGAAGCTCAGGGCAACTTTTGTGGGGCCCACAGTAGTCTGTCAGGCACTGATCTAACCCATCCCTGCTTAACATCATTACATCCTTTGAGGCTTTCGAACTGTTCACTGAACCAGTAACAATAACACAAGGCTGCTTCTTATGATTTTTGTTGTAGTATGTGGACATGAATACCTAAGTAAAATTCAGTGTTGTACTATGACAAACGTTCCATCTGCACAACCATCACCAGACAGAATGATATCCCCTCTTTCACCTGGACACTGTTCTGGAGGTTCTCCTGACTCCCCTTAAGCTAATTGGGGTGTGGGTCCAGGGGGAAAGCCTCATTAGGTGAATCATAGAATCATAGAGTTGGACTAGACCACAAGGGCCATCGAGTCCAACCCCCTGCCAAGCAGGAAACACCATCAGAGCACTCCTGACATATGGTTGTCAAGCCTCTGCTTAAAGACCTCCATGAGTTTCTCATGGAATCCCACTCCATGAGTTTAAAATGCACATTATCCAACAAGTATGAATTGTGCATGTGTGTGTTTTTAACTGTGTTCCATACTAAAAAAACATACAACAGGTGATTGTGTCTCTACCTGCATGTATGTTGAATTGAAATAGTGTGTGTATGCATATATATATGTATGTATGTATGTATGTGTATATGTTTTAATGGACAACGTGTGTATTTTGTGCTTGGGAATTCATAGCTGATTACTGACAATTCTTATAATATTTGGACCTCTGTCTTTTCCAACATCCCTATGGTTTGCCCTGGAAATTATTAATACTCTTCTACAGATTGGTTGTCTTGTACAGGT